TTTAAAAGGCCGTTTGCGAGCCAATAGACCAAGGCTGGCTAACATTTTCTGACCCAGTTTTTCGACGCCATGTGAAAGAGCATGATCCAAGATTAGTAGGACTGACATGGTTTTGAGATTTTAGGATTCACTTTGGACTTTAAAGGACCGTTAAAGTCGTCCACCCCCAAAAACTATCTTTAAAAGTTACTTAACCAAATTTGCTGAAAATTTGTGTCAATACCTAATTTAGGGCAGCGATCATTTTTTTAATACATTGCTAAGCCCGAAAATCGGCCCGGAACATAGGAATCTCACTCAGAACAGTTTTTAAAATTTTCGAGTTTTTAAAATTGTACCTGTAACGTGAAAATAGCATAGAAAGATGCGCTAAAATTTTCTACATCGAGGTGTTGTTATTTCTGGCGTGCAGTGAACACTCTAAAAACTACAAAATGGCCTTGATCAGTAATAAATGGTCGAGAAGGGAAGCATGACTTGCACTACGGCTCAATCGGCGTAGCAAAAAGACAGATTCGGCTAAGAGGGGCTGGGATTGAACTCGGATCGTTCGCCTGGGAGGCGGCGGCGCCCTCTAGTGGCTGCCCCCAGTGCCCCCAGGCGAGCCATCGCGAGTTCGATTCCAGTAACTCGTTAGTTTCTCTTACAAGGGGATTTATTTTTCCGATTTGGTATTAGATTCCTAAAGGGAATTATCTCAAGAAGGCATGCACAAGTCTGTTTTTATAATACGCAGGCGTCTTCGGCTTACAGGGCTTCTTTCACATTTAAGAAACTATTATTTTTGCAATTTTTAGAGTGTTCCTGCACTCTAGAAAATACAACACTCGACACGATAATTTTTGCGCATCTTTCTATGTTATTTTCACGTTACAGGCAACACTCCGTAAAAACCGAAAATTTTGAAAAAACTTTTCCGAGTACACTGAGATTCCTATGTTCCACCGATTTTCGGGCTTAGCAATGTATTAGAAAAATGATCCCGCCCCAAATTAGGTATTGACACAAATTTTCAGCAAATTTGGTTAACTAATTCAAAGATAATTTTTTGGGGTGGACGACTTTAACGGTCCTTTAAAGTCCAAAAGTGAACTTCTAAAAATCTCAAAACCATGCAGTCAGTCCTACTAATTCGACTATGCTCTTTCACATGGCGTCGAAAAAACCGGGTCGAAAAAACTGTGCCAGAGCCCTAATGGGGTCTGTTCGAGTGACCCGCGGACGGCCTTTTTAAGTGGCACCTCACGCCCAGGGCTCACATCAGCATCATTCGCCAAATCAGAAATTTCCTCATGTGTCCAGTTTGGCAGCGTACAGGGTGAAAACAACTCGTCGTATGTATTTGATTTGTTGTTTGTTTGGAGTTGGTCCAGGGCTCTCGAAATTCATAGATAATTGAACTATCATCAGAAGTTACTTATGCGAGAAACCGCTCGTTCCTTAGATGCTGCCCGAGGCCCGCAGCCACAAACCCCCAGATTTCGTTTTGTAGGAAGGTAGAGCCATTTGGTGGAATCAGCAAACAAGCGGAGTGCATGCAGAACCGGTGCTGGAAATGAGTGCTAAATTTAAAAATCATTTGATTTTGCTCGATTTTCATAATTTTCTAGCCTCTAGCAAAAAACGCTCAAAATCCTCAATTTTCCTGTTCGTTCAGCCTCTTTAACTTTAAGTTTAAAAAACTTTCTAGCCAGCTCAATGCCTCTAAATGTCATATTCGTTATTTTTTATCCAATTCATTTTTTCTTTGATTTTTAGCTTTAAATATATCTAAATATTGAGCTTTTGAAAACCAATATACTCTATTTTCTAGCCAATTTATTAATTTTCCCAAAATTTTCCTAACGAATACCTCGTAATTTTACAGGGTGTCCCAAAAAAAGCACCCCTCCGGCATTTCGCCGCCTTACATCCAATCGGTCCCATACTTTGCACAAGAGGTGTATCGGACCATAAACTAACCACAATCTGAGGTTCCGCCCGTCACTACAGTAATTTCCGGAGTTATCCTTCAAAATACCGTGTTTCTATGCGACTTTTATAACGAGTTTTTCGCGGCTATCTTTTGGACTTTGCATCTATTTTGCCATCGACTTCCGGCTGCGAATCCCTAATTTTGCTTAATATCGGGTGTGTCTTTGGGTTACAAAAATTCATGAAATCAACAGTTATTTGTTGAATTTTTATCGGGAAAAATTTCTAAGGGTAAAGAACGCTTGCCGCTTCATTTTCACTTAATATTCAAATGGTCGCATCGGACGAAAACCTTATGAAAAACCATAATAAAATTTATTTTTGTTGTAGCTCAAAAATTGGCTTGTAGATGGCGGGCTATAACTCTGGATTGTGGTTATTTAGGGCCTGATACACGTCTGGTCCAAATCTGGGACCGATCGGATGTAATATGGCGAAATGCCGGAGGGGTGCTTTTTTATGGGACACCCTGTATAACGGGCTAATGCTCCGCCCATTATTAGAAATACTATATTTTTTTGAAAGTGTAAGAAGAAGTTTTTCCGTACCCTATCCTCCGGCAACATTTCCCAAACTTCCGGCATGGCCCGGAAAAAGTCGCAGCAGTACAGCATCATGCGGGCAAACGTTCTTCCGCTCATTTCTGGGGTATAGGTGGTCGGGTTTCCGGAAGGGCTTAGGCCAATCTAAAATGTCGAATCAGCCATCTCGCTCTCCCTCTCCCGCTCTCTCTCTCCTCTCTCTCTCCTCTCTCTCTCTCTCTCTCTCTCTCTCTCTCTCTCCCGCCTCTCTCTCTCTTTCTTGTGTCCTCTCTCTCCCTCTCTCTTACTCTCTGTCTCTCCCTCTCGCTCTGTCTCTCCGTGGCTCTCTCTCCCGCTCTCTCTGTCTCTCTCTCTCTCTCGCTCTCTCTCGATCGCTCTCGCGCCCTCTGGGTCTGCCTCTCTCTATCTCTCTCTTACCGGAACTCTCGGACAAACTAGAGTCGGGTTGCTCAATAAATCGCTGATAGGAGTGGATAGATTAAATTCGAATTCCAGATTTAGTGGAATCCAAGGGTAGTCGGCAGTACAGAATCTACAAATTATAAGTTTATACCAATTTAAAAAATTTGCACTCCCTCCACTCTCATTAATCTTCCCACTTCTTGAGCTACAGATACCGGCCCGGCTGAACGCGCAAAAGTAGCTGGAAATACGACGGATGGGAGACGTTGGTGATCCTGAATTTTATAAGGTATTATTAATGGATAAATACTATATTTCAATTAACTTTACATCGAATCATCATCGAAAATGTAGCGACTATTACCTTACCTCAACTGCGAAGGCAATCCTGGAGATTTTGGCACCTCGATGGCATTTTCTGCATTTTTGGCCTTTCTTCCTACGTTCCGACCTTTGGCCGACTTCTGGAAAATCGTTAGTGTGAAAAATTAGGGTGCAGTAAAAAAAAGTAGCAAAAACTCACTTTCCGGCCGAAACCCGGCAGCCAAACATTGCTGAAAACGACAGGCTCTGCAGCGATCGTTAGCTAAATGATATTGTATGTAACAGGATTTTTTGGATACTATGGTAGTTAAGCTATTTTAGATATAGTTATTATATAACTCGACAAACTGCATTTTGATCAATTATGAAAATAACTTACGGTATACACATTTTGCTTCCGCTTCACAGACAAAGGGATACTTGCTAGTGGCACCACTTGGGAAGAATGTCTTGCAACTACTAAAAATTCCACATATTAGACAGCTCTCGCTTTCTCTCTCTCCCTCTCTCTTTCCCTCACTCTCTCTCTCTCTCTCTCTCTCTCTCTCTCTCTACTCTCTCTTTCTCTCTGCCTCCCTTTTTCACCCACCTGCACGCCACAGCTCCATAATTTTCCCAGCCGGCTTCGTCCCGCAGACTCTACAGGCCAACGCTTCCGGCGCATCAGGTTTGGCAGCAGGATCCATTATAAAATAGGATAAAAATAACAAATAAACTTTTCCGGAAGATGCAATGAGTATCGTCTCGGAATCGCCAGCTTTTATAGCAAAATTGCCTGCCCAAAGGCGTGGATTGTGCTAATTCCACTCTGGGGGCGAATGAAATTCCCCCCTGGGCGGGGAGTTCGAACGGATTAGGCGCCCCCTTTCGGCCGGAGATGAACTTGTGACGGCTGGAAGGTGTATTCTGAATGCAAGACGAGTGGCTCCCACAGGTGCTCATTTGGGGCTAGCGTTGTTGCCCGGGCGAAATGTTGGGTGGTACATTCGCGCGACCTGGAGACGCGAGAAAAGGAAGTGGAAATTAGAGGTAAACAAACATCAGCGGCAGCTTGAAATTATGGATACAAAAAGTACAGTCTGGAAAATATGTTGAGGGGGATCTTGGATATTTGTACAATTTTTCTGTTAATGTGAGAACGAGAGGGAGCGAGAAAAAATGAACATTAACACAGTGGGCTTGAGATATATGGAAATATCGAAAAACCGCATAGCAGCTAAACCTAGCGCAAGCTAGAGGCGCGGGAATTTGAGCCAGGATAGGCAGGGAGTGAGAGCTTTACAGAGAGAGCGAGAAAGAGAGAGAGATAGAGAGAGAGAGAGAGAAGAGAGAGAGAGATAGAGAGAGAAGAACATTTTCCTGGTTATAAAGAACCGTTGAAGTGAGAAACCGCGTCATTTGGTATGTGTTCTTTTACGGAAACTCGGAAGCCAGTAATCCGGTGCATACAAAGAATTCTTGCTGATATCCGTTTATTCGCCGACTCCCTGTTCGGGTATCTAGGCGTTGAAACGGCGGCGGCCCTTGTAAGATCCAGCGCCGCCTCCAGCTCCTCCTCCGCCTCCAGTGTTGTAGGAGGCTGAAAAGGAATGTTAATTAAGGTAACGATAGCGTAAGAATGGTGTGGAAAGGAGCCGTACGTAGTCGTAATATGTTATTAAATACGTTTTTTCCTTTGGCGATACACGATGGTTCTTGGAGAGATCCAGAAAGAGAGAAAGGAGAGAGAGAGAGAGAGAGAGAGAGAGAGAGAGAGAGAGAGAGAGAAAGAGAGCGAGGGGAGTGTGAGAGAGTGAGTGAGAGACGGCGAGAGGGACGGAGCAAGCGATACAGTGAGAGAAACAGAAAGTAATTGAGCACATCTCTAAACCTCACCCTGAGCAGCTCCTCCCGACACAGCAGCCGAAGGAGCAGAAGGAGCAGGTCCAGTCCTTGGTGGGCAAGGGCAGTAGGCGGCATCCGATCCGGGCTGTCCGTGCTGACCATCCGATCCGGGTCCTCCGGGGTTTCCGTTGGGTCCGGGGGCTCCAGGGGGTCCGGGTGGTCCTGGGGGTCCAGGTGGAGGAGCACCAGCGGTAGTTCCAGGCTGCCCGTTGGGTCCGGGGGGTCCAGCAGGTCCGGGTCCTCCAGCGGGACCGGGCTGGCTGGTGCTGCGAGTTCCGGGGGCTCCAGGCTGTCCTGGGGCTCCAGGCTGTCCAGGGCTTCCCGGCTGTCCGTCGTTTCCGGGGGGTCCGGCGGGTCCTAAATTTGCGTGGTTTAGTTTGATTTTGTCGAAAATCAGAACGTCGAAAGCAGGTTTTCGAAATTGCCTTTGTCGGTATTTTGTCGAAAAGTTAATTTTTTATCAGCTTGAATTTCGGCATTTCGCCAGGCAGATTTTCGACGTTCCAGATTTTCGAAATTCTGCTCACATTTAAATAACTCACCAGGAGGTCCAGGGCTGCTGGGGCCTCCAGGAGCTCCGGGATTTCCGGCAGGTCCAGGGGGTCCAGGAGGTCCGTTGGGTCCACCGGGTCCAGGAGGCCCAGCCGGGCAGCTGATGCATCCTCCAGAGGCCTCGGAGTGGGCAGATTCTCCGGCTTGTCCGGATTCTCCATCCTGTCCGGCCTCTCCTGGCATACCGTCCTCTCCGGGAGATCCGGGAGGTCCGGGAGGTCCAGCCGGGCAAGAGGTGGCCGCGGCTTGGCAAGCAGCGCAGGAGTCACCTCCACCACCTCCACCTCCACCTCCTCCTCCACCGCTGAATCCGCCGACGCCGGCTGAGGGGCCCTGGAAATGGAAGAAATACTGCCGTATAGTGCATCGCGCAGAAAATATTTCTCATCTGGCACTTTTGCATTAAGGAGTGGGAAGAACGTATTTCTTTCGTAGAAGAACACGCCTAGTAACGTACTAGTTGGTGCTTTAACTATTTATTGTAAAGTTTAACGATTTTTCACGTGTAAATCCACGGAAAATTCAAAATATTCGTAGGACCCAAACTTTTCGTCGAAATCGTCGTTTTTGTCTATTGAATAAAAACTGTAAATTCTTACACTTAGGAATCACTAAAGTTACTGTAGAAGCGCCTCCTCTCTTTATAAAAAAAAATTGGACACCAAAGAAAAAAAATTGGATCCCTCCAAATAACCTACACGAAAGAACCTATTCAAGATCTTCCTCTCCTGCTATCTCTCTCTCTCTCTGTCACTCTTTCTGTCTCTCTCGCTCTCTTTCTCCCCCTCGCCTTCTCTCTCTGTCTCTCTCTTTCACTCTCTCTCTCGCCTTCCTTTCCTGACCTGCTAAGGTTTTCGCTCGACTTCACTCTCTCCCTCTCTTCTCTCTATCTCTCGTTCTCTCTCAGTCTTTCTCTCTCTCACCACATACCTGATTGTATCCTCCAGCTCTCTTCCATCTCTGCATCAGGTTCTTCTTCGACGAGTGCATCATCTTGGCCCAGGCGTCATCGGCCGTCTCGCGGAATTGGACGAGGTCGGACTCGATGTTCTCCCTTGATTAAAGGTCTATTGAAGTCGGCTTTTAATTATGTTTGACTAGTTTTCTATTGAAGAAGAACGAAAACAATAATGCTGATTTTTATCGTTTTTTTAGCTACACGTTACCTCCGTCGGAGATGTCGGACACGATCTGGAACATGCTGATCGCCGTGCCGACCACCACAATCGTGGTCCCAGCGAAGACAACCGTCAAAAAGAGGTCCTTCCCGGTCCCCATCTAAAAAAATTTAACGTTTTAAAATTTTGTTGTGGGTTTAAAGAAACAGCCAGCCTTTGAAAAATAATTAAGTGCCTCGGAACTCCGTATTATTTTAGAAAATTTGGCTAGAAAAATTTTACAAAAACTAAGGGTGCGGTAATGGCTGGCGAACGAATGTTTTTCGGTACATTCATTGCTAGAACAAGCTTTTTATACTCTTCCTTGACAGGTTTTCTTGCCTTGTCGATGTGGTGGGAACAACGGAAGGAGTAGCGGTGCGGAAACTGGTAGTCGCGACGGCTTTTTGACAGCTAATGTCCAGTAGAAAGAGAAAGAGCGAGAAAGAGGGAGAGAGAGGGAGGGAGAGAGACAGAGTAGGACAGTTTGTTTTCGCTCCGCAACTTTCACCTGCTATGGAAATTACCCTTTCATTGTCTTGGAACGGGTTCGAAAATTGAGCCAACAGGAATTTATACAAAGTTTAAATAGAAAGCGTTTTTGAAATGCATTTAAAAAAGGATACTGTCAAATTTATCGAAATACACAAATGGTAATGGATACACGGGTGATGGTAATTATAGATGAAAGAATCGAATTGTTTATTCAGCCTCGATATACGAAGCCTTCCCAAATTCCGTTAGCACCGGCACTAGGAATACGGCGTAGCCACAGACGAAAGCGGCGTATTTGGCCATGGAGTCGCGGTCATCGGTTAGTGTCTGAAGGGAAGGATAGGTCAATCCAGAAAACAATAAAAGGCCAAGAAAGCTAGAATCGACCCCTGCTTTCGGCTAGGTCTCGACAGCTGGAATAACCGAAAGTTGTGGAAAATGGAATTTACGGGCTCTTAGAACAGGCCGTTTTCGCGAAATTAAATTTCTTGCGTACGAGTTTTGATATGCGAAATCCAGTTGTCAAGACCTCTCGCTAGAAAGGGTCGATTTTGACGCTTTCTAATACCTTTAAGTTAGCAAAAAAACATCAGGAAAAAACACAATATCCAGCACAGCCCAATGCAGCACGAAGAAGCCTCCGCAAAAAGCTATTCGCAAAATCGGCCAGGCACAATCCGGAAATCTCCTTCTCAGCAGATGGACTGCCATTTCGGCGATTTGAAACGCTACAGTAATCACCATAGATAGTTGAAACATTGGCAGGCAGAAAAAGTTGAAGTAGCTGCCGGATTGCTGAATTTTAACACTAAAATTTTTAATGGAATTTTGGATCATTTGGATTCTCAATCAAAGACAATTTAAAATTTACCCATTTCTATGGCAAAGGCGGATTTTTAGCTCTTTAAAGGGAGCGCGACAGCTGCCAGATTAAGGCGTGTTTTAGAATATTGTGAAAAATATTTTTAAATGGAGTCTCTAAGTTTCAGGGATACCGGAATTTACTGAAAAAATTATTGCAACTTGAATCTAATCGATGGATGGAGTATCTCACCTCTTTTCTTAGGCCCATCTTCGCCTTTTTTTGATTTAGTTTTAATCTAATTTATTTTATCAGCTCCCTTTATTTTTTTCTACGATTGACCCTAGCTACAGTAACCCACCGAGGCGTAGTTTGTGTAATTGGTCGTGCCCGGGATCTGGCTGCGCTTTAGCGAGCAAATCCAACAGATTGGGGCAACGGCAGGAATGAAGGGCAGGATGATAATCAGCAGATTCAAAACGATGTTCCACTAAAAAAATTGAAGCTGAAGCCTAGGATGTGCTCTTGATCAAAAAATCTCTAAAATTATTTTAATAAATTTTATAGACGTTTGAGGTTGATTGGTGGACCGATTAAAAATCCAGAAATCAGGCTTTCGGTCGGTAAAGATTCAGTTAGAATAAAAAATACCAAAAACCGATGGTGAAAAAATAATGATTATTTTTTTCAACTGAAGACTGTAACTTAGCAATCAGTGCCGGGACTGCTTTTGCATGATTCACGCTTTGAAAACTTACATCTTTCTTGAAAACCGTCAAATAGCCATGGAAAGCCGCCCAGAGCATAAAAGCGAGAAAATGAACCGTCAGCATTCCAGCGTTGATGAATAAGATGATGGTGCATATCGAACTGTGCTGACCGAGCCAGACCTGAAATTGTCGGTATTGTTTTATGATACATTTTACAACATCGGAGCACCTCTAAATTTTGTCAATGCTCGCGTAAGCGGGTAGGGTTTTGGGTCGGGTCGCGTAAGGTTTTGGCTATAACTTTTTTATTCTCCATTATTGTAGGTTCATATTAAAACTCAGAGTATATCTTTCGACGCTCTATCGAATAGAATTGCAAAAATACCGACCAAATAAGCGCAAATACCGAAAACTGTTAGACCCTTCGGCGGGGGCTAAAGTAGCCTTACCGCGTAAGTAATCCAGAATCCATTAAAGGCATTTACCCGCCCTTTAAAAAAACCTAAAAATCGCCTCACCTGCATTTGATACACGTATTCCATCTCGTATGGATCGGCAAAAATATAGGTATTACACGTTGGTATGTTAATGAGGAGCAGGAAGATTATCTGAAAACAGGGTTTTTAACCTTCAACTCATCCAGCCACCGCCAATTTTCTGTAAATGAGATTTCACAAATTTTAAAGATCAAGAAATTTCTTTTACGCGTATAATTGTCCTAGAACAAAAAAAAATGTTGTTTTTTGCTTTACTACACGCCATCTTTTCTATTTTTTGTCCCCATGCAAAAGTGAGACCAACCCAAAAATTACAGCGCTTTTGAAACTTAGTAAGCTTTGTAAAACCTACAGTAACCCTAAAAAACAGGTTAACAATCTTATTCGTATTCCCCTCATGGTCTTCATGGAAAAGAACTTGTCGAAATCCACGTATATGAAAGCCAGCAATGACCAGTATAGCAGTTGTAGAGTATGAATTGTAGCGAGATGTAGTCCATATTTTAATATATAGTTTAATAATATAATAATGATTATTTAACAATTATATTAATCGATATTTTTATTAAATTCCTTTACTAAATATACGGCTCAAAGAACAAGGCTAGTTGTTGCTCCTCTTTGTGCCTGACGTGGGTTGGGGGAGGTACACTGCAATTAGGCGTCTCGCGGCGGCGTCGGGCCGTTTTAGGTATCTTGAGGGTGCCAAACTTTGGGGCCATAAAGCCGCCGTAATTTACGGTTTCTTCCGCGTAATTACGGCTAACGGTTTGCGCTTGATTCCGAGCCTTCTTAGAAAATGTTACGGAACTTTCTTAAAGGCGTGGCGACAGCTGGACTACGGTAAAAATCATGTTAAAAATTCTCAAAATTTTACCGAACTACCAAAAAATAAAAATAAACTATAAGAGGATATTCTATGGGGCCTTTGGTTTGCTGGAACTCTTAATTTTATTCGTTCTATTAAATTCGGAAAGGATTATGGTACTTTTGCAGTATCGAGGGGACTGGGGGCGTGGGTTTCGGCGGAAGCCCGGTAAATCCAATTTTTCCTAAAGCTTCAGGAAGGCTACTATTGTAATTCTAAGTATCCAAATAATTTTTTACTGAAGATTAACTATAAGTAAGTAAATAATCGACTCAAAAATTTACCAGAAATTTCAACAATTCGAAATTCTATCCGAAAATCGGCTTTTTTATCTAAAAACGATAATTTTGTGGTTTTTGATACCATTACCAAAGTTAGACTTTCAGAGTAGAAAAAACAGGTTATAAACATTTCTGCTCTTAAATTGATAGAAATGTGTGTGGTAAGATCCACTTTCTATTTTTTATTGCATTTATTTTTCACTTTTCACGGAACTGATTTGACACAAAATGCATAAATTGTCTCGATTGGCTGTCGTAGTTCTTAATCGTGATCCTGATTTCCCGGTTTTCCGTACTCGAGCAGCGCCGGAATTAGGAAGACCGCGTACCCACACACGAAAGTGCCATACTTGTACAGCGTTTGCATGTCGGCAGAGATACTCTGGAATCGAGGGTTAGGAAAAAGTACGTACGCACATTCCAGTAATTCCATTGGATACGCCAAAATACGTTGCACTCGTTAGGCTACGTTCCAGTATGTTAGGGGTCACTACAGTACGCCACAGTACACTTCAGTGTTTCAGTGCTGCACAGTACGCGAGCATACGCGAGGATAAATTAGAATACTGCGTTTTAGTACGCTACGGTAGGGCGATGCAAAAGTACGATACGAGAATCTAGCTCAACGACTACGTGGCAGTGCGCTTGGCATAGAGCCACTGGCTACGTACGATACGCCACACCATGCCTCAGTACACTAACCGTGCCTACGCTGCAATCCGCTGCACTATTCTCCGCTTATTGTAAGTCTTTGAAATTCAAAACTCACAATATCCAGTAATACCCGGTGTATGATGTAGAGTCCAACGCAGGCAGAGATTCGGATTAGGGGCCAGATGCATTCGAGCATCCGATGACGCAGCATGTGGACGATGATTTGGCAGAATTGTAAGAGTGCCATTACCAACATCGATATTTGGAACATCGGGACGCAAAAGTAGTTGAAGTAGCTGCCGGCTTTCTGGAAGAAAGAAGGTCGTTTTTGCTTGAGAGAGAGAGGGGAGAAAGGGAGAGAGAGAGAGAGAGAGAGAGAGAGGCGAGTGAGAGTGCGAGCGCGAGAGATACGAAACGAGAGCGAGAGAATGCGCGGGAGAGTGAGAGAGCGATAGAGTGAGATACGAAATGAGGCGAAGAGCGAGAGAGAGAAAGGAAGAGAGAGAGCGATAGGGAGAGTGAGAGCGAGAGAGAGAAAGACAGTGAGACAGAGAGAGAGAGAGAGAGAGAGAGTGTGTGTGAGAGCTAGAGAGAAGCCGATATAAAATATGCGTAAGAGAGCAAGGGAAAAAGAAAAGTTAGTACAGTAACCTACCGTAGGAATCTCATAAACGTCCGGATCGTAACCCGGAAGCTGGAGGCGCTTGAGCGGGCATAGGTAGAAAATGGGGCCTATGGCCGGGGCGATCGGAACAAAAACGATCAGCAGGTCAAGGACGACGTTCCACTAAAAAATTAATTTTTTTCCATTGTGTTCAGATTAATATGGATGATTTTAGAAAGAGAGAGACTAGATTTTAGAGCTTACCTCCTTTTTGAAGATGACAAGATATATCTGGAGCACCGACCAGACCATGGCCGCTAGGAAATGGATAGTGAGCGTGGCCGTGTTGACAAAAACGACGACCACGCAGAAGGTGTAGTTCTGCTTCAGCCATTGCTTAAAACATGATTTTAAAGGGTTCAAATCAAATCGCGAAATCCCCACCTGCACTTGCCAGACGTACTCGTAGTCGTAGTTATCTTTAAAGAAGTAGAAATTGAATGTTGGGGCGTTGACGAGAATCAGGAGGCATATCTGAAGGCATAGAAAAGTGCAATTTTAACCAGGTTCCATCTCTTTATACTCTGCGTACAATTTCACAATATACCATCATTTATTTTAAAAAAAAACACGGTCAAATACACCTTTTAAGCACTGCCACAAGTGAGAATGCCAAGCGTTCGATGTTCAACAATTTTTTCCAGCTGTTACTCTCCCTTTAAGCCCATCTAGCTTTCGAAAACCTTACTGTAACTGACTGAAGCTAGCCAAAACTAAGAAAAACATTTTAAAACTTTTACTTTTCAAACTTTTAAAACATTTTAAAATCCAGATTTGCAAAATTTTGATTGTGTTGGTGTCCCTTTATAAACATGAAAAAAATGAAGGAAGTAAAAAACGTACCGAAACTCTTAAAAATATATTCGAAATTCGATTGGTATTTCCGATGTGTTCCTCGTGGTACAGTATCCGATGAATGCCATGCACATGGAAGCCGATCAGCACCAATAAATAAACAGTGAACAGTACAAACTGTTCAGTTGCGTAGTTCATCGTGAACCCGGTAAAAATTCGAATGCGTACAGAGGAATCGCCCGGAAAAGATTCGGGGGCTTCAGTGGCCGATTGGCCTCCGTAATTAGTGGGAGAGTTTCGAAATTCGGAAGCCTAGGGAGCCGAACCTGACGATACCGGGAATACGGTAATTGGGCGTTTTGAGGGGGATTTTGATTACCGGGGTAAGATTAAAGGTGTAAGATTCGACTGCAACTTACGTAGGTATGCGTTTAAAGGGATGGTGACAGAACGAATTTTTGGAAAAATTGAAAATCCCTTTTTTTCTGAAATCTTTTATTTTATTTCAACTTTTACTTGTGTAAATAAACTATTAAGTGAGCGTAACTTTTCTTAAATAACTTGAATATTACGAAACATAAAAAATGGTTGTTTAAATACTAATTAAAATGATTATTCAAATCTAGACACTGAGTTTAGAAAAATCCATCCCAAATTTTTTGCTATTAAATATATGCTAAAAATATTTCCATCAAATATCAGTCCTTTTCTTTTTGCTATCTTTGTCAGAAAAAGTGGAGTTTCAATATATAGGTGGGTTTTTTAATGAAAGCGGCCATGAATTTTGGCATCGTTTCCTCGCTTTTTTTATCGTTTTTTATAATTTTCAGATTTTCAGAATTTATTTAGTTTATGCTATTCCAATCATCTATTTTTTAAGGGTTTTTAATCACGTCATCCGCAATTTTGAGCATTTTGGCTCTCAGTTATTTTAAAGCTATTTCCGGAATCGCTAATTAAACTGTAGTGGCGCCACTAAAAACACGTTTAATGATAGGTTATATATCTTTGGATTGCCTGCCGATTTTTGGATTGTTGCTGTTCGGCCGCGGTAGTTACCCTAGAGGAATTGGACCCGGTGATTAGCAAGGAGGCGAAAAGTCACTTTTCGGAAGGTCGCGTAATTTGGCGGTTTTCAAGAGGAAAAGCTACGGTCACATGCTACGGTCGTCCTAATTACGGGAGTGGGCAGCATTTTGGTTCCGCGATCAAACCCGAAAACGGAAAATTGCTTTGAAGAAGCGGAAGTGACTCAGTCGATTTTTAGATATACTTTTTGCAATGATCCTATTCTAATACTTCAAAAAAAAAACAAAAGGGCTTCTAAACTGGTTTTTATTTTTTTTTTGCCTAGCGGCTACAACCTTTTATCCTAAAATACGAAAAATATCCGTTTCTTTGACCATAAATGGCGACTTTTCAATAAACATATAAATTTTTCCCGGTTTTTTAGTGTTTTCCACCTTACATAGTCAAATTGCGCTCAAAACACTATTAAAGCGCTTGCTAGGTCGGTGCGAAGCAGTTAAATTGTAAAGTGCTGGCTGCTTCCCACAGTTTAAGATGCTCAAAACGCGAAAGAAATTTTAAAGGGACGGCGACAGCAAAGTCTAGGGTCGTTTTGTAGCCGATTTTCGGTGTAAAACCAACAAAATCTTTATGGTATAGCGTTCAAAATTGCTTCGATTGTCTGTCGTAGTATTCGACAAAAATCAGTCGTGATCGTCGTTTCTGGGTTTTCCGAAATCAAGCAGCACCGGTATCAGAAACACTGCGTAGCAGACGGAATGATACGCCGTACTTGTACAACGATTTCATATCGGCGGAGAGGCTCTGAAATTAAGGGCCGTTACGAGAATAATGAAAACTTACCTCTTATGCTAAAGTACGCGACCTTACTATGCGGTAAGCGTACCTACAAGCACGTTCCCTCCTGATATTACTGCGCTACACTACGTTACACTACCCTGCACCACGTTACTACGTTACAGTACGCTTCAACAACGCGTAAAGTACGCTTGAAGGGTCCTCAATAGCTTTGTTATGGATATATTTTTCGTCATAACAATAGTAGCCCAAAACGCACAATATCCAGTATGAAGTAGCGCATGAAGAACAACAATATGCAGGCCGAGATTCGAACCAGCGGCCAGATGGATTCGAGCATCCGATGACGCAGCATGTGGACGATGATTTGGCAGATTTGGAGAAGGACAATGACCAACATGGAGATTTGGAATATCGGGATGCAAAAGTAATTGAAATAGCTGCCGGCGTGCTAGAAAATGAGCTTCAGTTTCGAGAGATGGCGAGAGAAAGAGCGAGAGAGAGAGATAAAGAGAGCGAGAGGAGAGCGAGCGAGAGAGAGAGAGATAGAGAGAGAGAGAGAGAGAGAGAGAGAGGGAGAGCGAGAGAGAGAGAGGGAGAGAGGGAGAGAAAGGGAGAGAGAGGGAGAGAGAGATAGAGAAAGAGGGAGAGAGCGAGCGAGAGGGTGGATATAAAATATGCGTAAGAGAGCAAGGGAAAAAGAAAAGTTAGTACAGTAACCTACCGTAGGAATCTCATAAACGTCCGGATCGTAACCCGGAAGCTGGAGGCGCTTGAGCGCGCATAGGTAGAAAATTGGCCCTATCGCCGGAGCGAGCGGCACAAAAATGATGAGTAGGTCGAGAATCACGTTCCACTGAAAAATAAAAAAATAACCTAATTAATTTAATTAAAAACCAATGACCAGCAATGAAAATTAGCACGAGCCGACCTCCTTTTTGCAGATGACAAGATAGGTGTGGAGCACGGACCAGACCACGGCCGCTAGGAAATGAATAGTGAGGGTGGCCGTGTTGATAAAGGTGATCACTACGCAAAAAGTGTAATTGTGTCGCATCCAGTCCTGAAAGACTGTGTTTTAAAGGGATAGGGACAGTAAAAAATGCAACGGTTACAAAGGGGGGAGAGACGAAATTTTTCTCAATAACCCTGTGCGAAGCTTTTTTACTTTCTCGTCAAAAAACGTCAAGATTAACAAAAGCACTGTGAAACGTATTCTCTACAACCGGCATGCACGTCATAAAAATAAGAAATTAGTTTCACGCACTGGTATAAATCCCCCCCTTGCTAATGTAACCGTTTTTTGTTGACCGTGGGATTTCGATAGCGTGAGATAGCACATTTTGTGCAGAATTTTCGTTGATTCGGATCCGTTTTCCAAAGTTGCGGAACCCCTCTAGATAAAGTTACAGCCGGTTTTCTACCCCAAATGAACCAAATTACACACTTTAAATCCTTATAAAAACTCGTGGAACATTTTGTGGGGATAGAATACAGCACTCTCCTAGGGGTAAAAAAACGTGCTCTTTCGAATGGGCTACCTCACGAACCCGTAGCTCAAAATTCATGAAAAAAGTTTCGGTGGTCCAATGGCCAATTTTGAATTTTTGTGAATTTTGAGCTACGGGTTTGTGAGGCGGCCCATTCGAAAGAGCACGTTTTTTTACCCCTAGGAGTGCTGTATTTATCTCCACAAAATGTTCCACGAGTTTTTATGATGGACTATAATAGTTTCTAATCATTTGGGTAAATGTAGAAAACCGTATCTTTATCTGAGGGGTTCCGAACTTTGAAAACGGATTCGGAATCAGCGAAAAAATTCTGCACAAAATGTGCTATCTCACGTATCGAAATCCCACGGTCAACAAAAAACGGTTACAGTAAGAGCCCAATACCCGAAATTCTGACCTGCATCTGCCAGACGTTACTCGTAGTCGTAGTTGTCCTTGTGGAAGTTAGAAATTGAGTGTCGGAGCGTTGACGAGGATTACGAGGCAAATCTTAACAGGATAGGTATGTCACCGTTGGTAAACTTCAAGGCCACTAGATTTTCCACGGTTATACGGTGCGAAAAATTTAAAAATTTAATTTGCAAAACTAGGCAACAGGATACGCGAGAAAATGCAGAAGACATCATAAGAGCTTCGACAAAACCCACCGTAACCCTCAGGAAAATATTCGAAATTCGATTGGTGTTCCCGATGTGTTCCTCGTGGTACAGTATCCGATGAATTCCATGCATATGGTATCCAATCAGCACAAATAGATAAATGGTGAACAGTACAAACTGTTCAGTTGCGTAGTTCATCGTGAACCCGGTAAAAATTCGAATGTGTCCTCGGGAATGGCCGGGTAAAATTTTTGGGGCTTCAGTAGCCGATTAAACCCGCCAATTAATAGCTAATGGAGGCGTTTAGGGATTCCGAAGGGCGGCCGGCCGAACTTGACGATACCGGGAATACGGTAATTCGGGGTTCCGGAGCGAATTTGATTACCAGGTAAGAGCAGAGGTGTAGGTCCGGATGGCGACTTGTCTCTCTCAAAGAGGGTGGGTATTAAAGGGGCGGTGACAGGAATGATTTTTGAGCTGTTGAACCTGGTGATTAGACGAGGCAGCAAAGGTCTTTAGGAGGCCGCGTAATATCGCATTTTTTTGGAGGAACCTGGTACGGTCACATGCTACGGTCACGCGAATTGCGGGGTTGAGGACATTTTCGTACATGCGTTATGTTCTGGCGTAAAAAGGCGCAGAGCAATGTGTCAAGCGGAAGTGATTCGAAGCGGCATTTAGGAGGGTTTCGCGGTGAATCGGCTAATTTTCGTGTTATTTTCTGCTGTCCGGGGACGCCATTTTACTTTTCTACATTTTTGCACGATTTTTATAGCATTTTGAATAGCTTTCAGTTATAAATCCTCATCAAAAATTATCAAAAATTTCGAAAATGTATGAAAATTTTCGTTAAAAAAGCTCAACGTAATAGAAAGTTGTTCCATTTTCAGAAATTTTTAGGGATCAAAGACCAAAAATTAGTTCTCCCTTGCTAACCTTCCTCCCCTCTGCTAGCAGTTCAATACCCAAATTTTCGGCACCCCTTTGCAGAAACGAAAAAAAAACGGCTACGCAACCGCGTTTTAGACTCATTCCACAGTCAGAACGATTCCGTTTTTCGGCACCCGGACGCCTTGAACACGCGCGCTGCGGTCCGCTCCACGCGAAAATTCTTGTGTCGCGACGCGTTACTGCAGAGGTCCGCCTATCGAAATTTATCTGCCTAGTGAGCTTCAAAAACGGGCGCACCAATACTCATTCCAAAAACTTTATCTTACCATCTATTTAGTTTTGCACCCTATACTAGTGCGCGTAATTATGGGCTTCCGACTGCAAAAAAGCCGGCTTGCAAGCGTGGGTAGGCCTTTCAGTAGGAGATTCGGATGTTTTTCTGATGGTACGTGTTTTCAAGAGACCAAAAATTCGAAAATCAGAACACACACTAGGATCCGGTGCTATTTGAAAGGCTGTGTGGGCCGTGCCGGACAATAATGATGGCATGAGGACCTCCAAATAATAGGTTTCGATCGTAACTATCAGGTTTCTGAACAACCAAAACTGGTTCGGGTTTCAGGGAATAGAAGAAGAATTCTTTTTATACCTTGCAAAAAGGTAAGAGTTGATGGGTCGTTAAAATAGCTTAAAAACCACTCTAAAACAAGCATTAAAACTATTCCAAGGGTTCCTTAAAATGACAAAAATCCTAATTTATCAAAGAAAAACGTTTTAGTCGGGTATTTCGTCGGAAGACGGGATCATGAAATTATATTCTTGACATTATGCATTTATCAACAAAAAAAACAGCATACAAAGTAGAACAAAATACAAAAATAAACCATATTCTTGCATTTCTACGTTTCGAGCCCCTCCTTCATCTGCTTCACCTTCTCGTCCAACATCCGCACCGTCGACAGATAGGTCTCGCAGAGCTTCTCAAATTGCTCCGCCGTTTTCTCGGCCTTTTCTACCGTCTCCTTGGCGTTTTCGAAATTTTCGCAACCATCCAGGGTTTCCAGACTTTTCTCCGAGGCCGAAATCAGCCCTTTTATCGAGGCGAAAAGGTGCACGTGAGCCCATTCGACATTTTTCGGCAGCCCTTCATAAATGTTATCCAGTTTCCCCTGGACCTCCAGCTTCATTTGGGCCGATTTTTGGAGCATGAACGGCTCGATCTCCTTGTGGTTGCGATGGGCTTTGAATTGGCATAATCCGCAGATGATTGCCTGGCAATCGGCGCAGAAGAGCAGATCGTCGTAGTGGAAGCTCTTTCCGCAGAGTCCTTGACAGGCTTCTTCATCAATGCTCGGGGCGGGCTTGCCGATATCTTGGAAGGTTCGACGTGAAAAGGCGGCCCTCGCGAAATCGATCAGGAACTCGAGCCAAAATTGAGTGGAGGCCAGGCATCGCGGCGGTTTGGGCGTGGTGTTGTTGTGACAGGTTGCGCAGAGGACCTAAATTTGAATTTTTTAAAGATATTTTCGCAATAGTTAAAAGAACTACACTATTCTTATCTTGTCCTTTAGCCAATTTGGACCGCAATCACCATGGCAAATGTTCAGAATTTGAAACTTTCCCAAAATTTAACATTTTGACCGAAAACTTTTTTGGTCTCGAGAACAAAGATAAGTAAGTTTCTTAAGCTCGAAAAGTAGAAGAATCCGCAACGCCGAGATATGCCAAATTCTGATTGGGTTTTTGATAAATTTAGCTATATTCCAGAGGTAAAACTATTCTGAAAACTAAGAAACTCTCCAAAACGTTAAAATCTTGACGGAAAAATGCCATATTTGCCTTTTTTAATAGAAAGGCGTAACGTTTTGACCTTAAAGGGACATTCCGCTCTCGTTGATAATTTCAAGGTCTTCAAAACGTCAACACTTTAGCATGCAGGGTTACGGTAGATGCTAAACGTGGGGCCAAACCGAACCCGGACCACTCGGCCTGGGACAAGCGCCATAGACCCCTCGGCCATGGGAGGGACGGGAAGGAGAGAGGGGCGAGGAGCGTAGAAATACTTCCCGGTTCGCAAAATAAAAAAAGTAAGACGTTTAACTTAAATTAGATTTCTATAGCATTGCCAACCTTCGCCAACGTCACAGCAATCGGCAAGCGCTCGGCGGAGAAGCCAAATTCCTCGTTGCACGCCGGACATTTCGGGAAATCGAGCTTAGCACCTGAAAAAAGTATATAGAAATTGTTTTTAAACCCCAATAAATTCAATGTAATTTATTGTTTTATCTATTAAGGGTTCAGGCATTAAAAGTCTAAAAGCATTACAATATTAGCGAAAATTGGTCGGTTTTGTACGAAACGATATTTATGTAAACAGAATAACGATATGCCAACGTCCTGGAAAAAATACCTATCACATAACCAATCCTTCCGGGCACGAGATCGGCCGATTTCAGTACCGCGGAGACTCCGTGAAGGGGAACCTTCAACTTGCAACTGTCTCGGGCGGCGCACTGCTCGCAGAAGTGGGCGTCGGAGACGCGGATTGGGTTCAGTGGAGACAGTTCGGCGAATGACTCGCCGCAGCCGAGGCACCGCAGCGATTCCAAGGACCAGGAAGCTGCACAACGGAGAGCTTCGCGGTTTGCTGAAATCCAGTTGTAGGGTTCCGAGTTAATCTATTCTAACCCTTATCCTGGAAAAAATGAAAGCCTACTTCCGTATAGTTAAAAAAGAATTAGTAAGACTCCACTTTACCCCCCCCAAAGCCAAAAGTTCTCAAAGTTATCGGTATGTTCGCTAATTTTGTCGTGATTTTTGCAACGGCATTCGACAGAGCGTCGAAAAATATACTAAGAGTTTTAGTTTGAGCCTATATTAATGTAAAAGATAAAAGTTATAGTCAAAACATTTCGGCTAGGGGAAGTAAAGTGTAGCCAAAAAAATTCTATGTTACAAACACCCGCGATAGGTCGTTTAAATGGACGATTGAACCAAGAGACCTTCTAAAAAAACCCGCTGTTCCAAACGCGAGCCAAGTCTCAAAAGTCTAATAAAAGCAATAAAATCCTACCTCTAAAGAATTTCACGTATTCCGGAATTTGGCGCTTCTTGACGCTGGGCTTCTTGCTGGTTCTGCGCATTGTTTTGTTGACGAATAGAAGATTTTGTAGCTGGCGTGTACAAAAAAAGTGGTTCCGGCGCAACTGCTGGCCAACGGCACGCGCAGATGTTCAGCGCTCACATCTGCGTGATAACCCCAGATGCTCGCACACTAATGACGTACCTTCAAAATCGCTTGTAATGGAAAGATCGCCTTTTCGTAATGAAGACTAGAATCAATTACTTGAGAGCTGAAAACTAAAATTTAACTGTAAAGTAAGCTTCGATGAGGCTTTCCTATTCCTTTCGTCTTAAAGAACTATTCCAGACGATTGAAATACCTTAGGAGTTTGATCTTTTCTTTTCTTTTGCTTTTTGAAATGCATGATTTCCGGGTTTTAATTTTTATTCCGGCAGACTGGGCGGCTGCCAAAAACCATTGTTGCAAAATTTGAATTAATATTTTATTCGGTAACTTGGTAAGAAGGATGGGATGAAGTTCGCCACGGAAAACGGTGATGTCCGGAAGTTTGCGATACCTGCCCGCTCCTCCTCCACTTGTAGCATGGGAAAAATTGGAGTACGGCTTGCCTGAAAGGTGGTTTATTAGTACACCTACGTTAAGTTGACCTCTCTCATTTTCTTTCTCTTTCTCTTTCCCCCCCTCTCTCTCTCTCTCTCTCTCTCTCTTCCCTCTCTCTCTTTCGCTCGCTCTCACTCTCTCTCTCTCTCTCTCTCTTTCTCCGTGCTCCCTCTCGCCTTGTTTACTGTTTCTATTAAACCTTAAACCCAAACGCTTCGTTCCAGAGTACGCTACCGATAGCACTTAATAAAATATATAATAACGAGCGGTTCCATCATTTGGTCGACCAAAACGAGCAGTACAGTACACTCCACGTTGACCATAATTCCGCCAAAAATTGAGGAGAAGAAGAGGTTTCCGACGGGGATGTAGTTGCAGAATAGGGGGATGAGGAGCTGGAACTATCTCTCTCCTATCTCTCCCTCTTCCTCTCTCCCCCCTCTCTCTCTCGCTCTCGCTCTCTCACTCTCTCTCTCTCTCACCTGTATTATCAATGCCTTGAACAGCTCGCGCTGCAAAAATTTGGTCTTCTCGCTGGCCATCACATTTTTCTTGAGCGCCCTGTAGATCGAGACCCCAGACACGATTATTATAGACCATGTAATGCCGAGGATACCCATCAGTACAGCGGTAGAAAGGTAAGCAGCTGCGAGATGGTTGTTTGATTTTGGCTAAAAGAAAGATTGCGCATTTGGATTGTAGTATGGCCATCCGGAAAGTGAGTGTGAGAGACAGAGAGCGAGAGGGAGAGAGATAACGCGCGAGAGAGAGGGAGAGAGAGAAGCTGAGAGAGATGAGACTCAATGGGGGCTACGTCTTGCCCAATCGTTCCGGTATTGCCCAATTCCGTCCCGAATTTCTCTAGATGAACCCGATTCAACTCGACGAGTACATCCGGCGCAACGGTGCGACTGCTTTGGTAGAGATGGCAGGTTAAGGTCCATAGCGTGCTAAAATCAAAACTTTTATAATTTCCAGATCTTATTCCTTCACCTCCTCCCGCTCTCATTTCACTACTCTCTCTCTCTCTCTCTCTCTCGCTCTCTCTCTCTCTCTCTCTCTCGCTCCCTCTCTCTATCTCGCTCTCGCTCTCTCTCTCCCTCTTTCTCTCTCTCTCTCTCTCTCAATCTCGCTCTCTCTCCCTCTCTCTGTCTTTCTTTGATTTGCGACCACTAATTCCTACATAAATTAATCGTACCTTCAAGGGTGCTTTTTTGTCTTAGCCTTCCAATCAAATCCGATTCGGCTTGCCAATTGCAAATTCCCGTGTGAACCCGTGGGTGGGGGTCAAAAATTTGCCCCTTTTGAGGTCCAGTACAAATTTTGTGGGATTGTTTCCAGAAAGGATCTTTGAAAGCACAGACGCAAAGTGTTTCATAAAAATTATAAAAAATTGAATCAGAAATGTTCTCCTCCAAATTACCTCGTCACCACCGAAAACGTGACGCATATCATCAAATTCTTGCGGAGGTTCTGTGAGGTCGTGAAAGAGTTTCTAGAGCCAAAAAAAATTCTCGAAAAATTGAAGACCTACCGGCAGACTACAGCATAACGATACACAAATTCAAACATGATAAAAACCAATGATTGGGAATAGCAGGTACAGTACAATAACAACAAAAAGTGGGTCAGGTCATTGCTAATAAATACTCGTTGCGAAACCAGTAAATAGGTTCTTTCCGAGGCGAGGGTGATCTAGAAGTATATTTTGATTTTTGAAGCCCAAAATGGTCAATTAAAGAAACGAAATACCGCCAGAATCGACTTCTTCAAGCAGCTTGATCTCGACAGCTACATTTGATGCCAGAACACGTACTTTTCCCATTTGACAAAAAATGAAAGCGCGAGATCCAAAAGAGAGAGAGAGCGGGAGAGAGGGAGATAGAGAGAGAAAGAGAGAGAGAGCGTGAGAGCTAGGGAGAGTCAGAGGGAGGGAATGAGGGAGATAGAGCGAGAGAGTGAAGAGAGAGAAACAGAGAGAAACAGAGCGAGACAATGAGAGAGAGAGGCACCAAGAGAGAGAGAGAGAAATCGGGAGAATTTGGAAAACCAAGGGGAAATGTCGAGACCTCGTCATGGAAGGGGGTCTATTTTTGCGCATTTAGGTATCCTTAAGCCTTCTTGATCTACGATCTCGGCGGCCTGCCCTTGCCTAATCGCAAGCTTTAAAATTACCGGAACTATGGCCAAATCCGTAGCCGTCAACATCAAATTTCCGCAACAGAAGGAAAATAGCAAATAGGCATATCGGCCGACAGACTTGTTCGACTTGGTGGCAATCAGGTAGAGCGTTAGCAAATTTCCGAGGAAGGCGATTGAGCAAGCGATGGTATGTAGTTTCTTGGTGAGGTCGGCGGAGAGGAGCGCGTTCAGCATTATGAAAAAATATAGAGATTTCTCGGAAAATAAGGTGTCATAGCTTGTTGGATTTAAAAGAATAAAATTTGACTGGTACGGGGTGGCTTAGGCAAGAAAAAAAAGGGAAAACGCCAAAATGCCGATAGGCAAAACTCCCGACAGCCAAAATACCGACGGACAAAATCCTTTTCGGGTGATAGTCAGATATCGAAATTCGGAATCTCAGAGTGCAGATCTAAAATTTCCTGAATCCTCGAAGTTCCGGAATCTCGAGGGCTCTCTGGGAATCTCGAAATTGCGGAATCTCGAAATCCAGGATATTAGCAAATTCCTGGAGCAAAACTATTATGTATCCGAATTTTTCAGATACAAATACAAGATTTCCGATAAAACCAAAGAGTAGACCCTCTGAAAAAGGGTATTTATCAACTCGTCGTTTCAAGGGCTTTCCGATGGTATGACTATCATCCCGATCCGACGCTTCTCCGTCGAGTTAGAGGGGGTCTACTTTTCGTTTTATCGGAAATCTTGTATTTGTATCTGAAAAATTTGGATACATAATAGTTTTGCTTCCAGGAATCTGCTAATATTTCCGGAATTTCGAGATTACCAATTTCGAGATTCCGAAATTTCAATTCCGAAATTTCGAGATTCAGACTGAGATTCCGAAATTTCGAGATTCCGACCCTACCCAAATCCACGCATGCAAAATAGATGCCAAAAACTAGGGGTATTCAAACTAACACCAAGAATACGTTGGGATTTTGATTGTCGGCATTTTGATTGTCGGGATTTTGGCTGTCGCTATTTTATTTCCCGGCATTTTGGATGTCGGGATTTTGTTTGTCGGCATTTTAACTGTCTTGTTTTTAGCTGTCGGGCTTTTGCTGCCAATGTTGCAGTTGTCGGCATTTCAGGAGTCGGGATTTTGGCTATCGAGATTTTTGTTGTCCGCAATGTGATCTTCGGGATTTAACTGTTAGTTTTTGTTGTCAACATTTTGGGTTTAGTATTATGCCTAGGATTGCAGAATGCACAGGAAAAATGTAACCTGTACCCAGAGCTTGCGTGAAAACCCAAAAACTAAAATGTCTCTCATACCTTTTTGGGGCTGAGATACTCCCATGTCTATAAAAATTAAGGATTTTCATAACGTAGTCGGTATTTTAGGGGAAAACTACACTTTACATAGATCATATATTATAGAAAAGGGCCATATCCTACTATATCCTACTATATATAAAAAAATAGTGTCTGTGTGTGTGCCACTTTGCATCCACTTCCGTATCGTTGTTCCAGTAGTATCTCCATAGGGGAAGAGGTTAGGGGTGGGTATGATATGTCATTAAGTGCGTAATGGTCTAGGGATGACTGCACACATATCAGATTTATAAAAATCAGTCATTTTCGGTATTAAATTTAAGTTTTTGTAAAACCTTCGTTGTTGGGAAAAAAATTAGCATTGAGCGGAAGTAGGAAGTCGCCTATATAAAGGGTCACAAGCGAATCATTTTCATTTTTTGGTCATCTGAATTCAGCGCAATTATGCAAAGCGTAGAACAGCATGCGGTCCAAGACGGGGCCAGGGTTGAAAAGTCGCGAAGCGGCTTTTCAACCTAAAACAAAAAGTAATATCAAATGCTAAAGTGTCCAGCATTGCGGCTACCAAGTTTTTGAGCACCAAAACCCTCCCAAGCTACCGTCATTTCCGAGCTAGCGGAAAATTGAGGAGGGTGAAGCTCGGCGAAAAACAATGACGCTCGAAATAAGCATATAAGGCATAAAAACACGCTGAACAAAAGTCCATTTGAATTACTTAAGTTGCGCAATGCTATTTTTCGAAGGGTTTTTTTTTGATGCTCCCCTTCAATGGTTTTTCAGTCGTCCCTTTTCAGGTTCGATCGGTGGTGAAAATCCTGCGAACTAGATCCGAATGGGAAAAGGTGCATTGTTTTGAGAGTCAAGATTGCTAGGCCCCTTACAAATCCCTTTGAATAAAGTGCAAAATAATTGATTTTGGGCCGCAGATAATCAGTTACCACCCAAGAAAACAAAATCCAAAGCATACAGATTTTGATACCTTGCGGGGCCCAGCAGCATAAGTTCGCTATGGATTTTCCCTAGAGACATTGATGGCTTGTTGCCATGCCAAGGAAGATTCATAATTCATTAATTATTCATAAAAAGAAAAAATGGCAAACAAGGCAAACCTGTGACTGCCTGATCATTGGATTTTAGCCGTCCTAGCAGAACGTGGAATTCCGGAATACGGTACATTCCGGCTTCAAAGCAACAACGAGATGAAACCGACAAGCCAAACGATCATTTACAAAAGATGAAAACAGATAACACGCTGTACTTTTCTACGGTTTGCGGAGTTTTGTTAATTTAAGAATGATCTTTGGAAGGCAACTCGAAGCTGGTAAGATAATCGCTGGGATGTTTTGGCGCTTCTGGATTCTGCCAAATTCTGCAAAAAGCAATTTAGCCCAGAAATCCCAAACTCAAAAATACTTTTGTTCTGCGTGATGCACGGAGACGTGGGTGGTTGTTCGATGCTGCACTGAAGTCTGGGATTTGAGGGTGTCGCTGCAGCTGCTGCATGAGACGAAGCGAGGTCGAAGAAAATCGATTTTAGTCTTAAAATTTTCCAATTTCACATGACTACTGTGTTGGTGAACTGCAGACGAAAAGCTTTCCTCTCTATATGCCGATTTCAATACCTACGACCCAAAAAAAGTACTTTTAGTGTTTGATTATTGCTGTTTCGTATACTTCACGCCTATGCAAAGCGCAATTATGCCCAGAGTTTTAATTTTTAGCGTGTTTAATAGAGTTTGTACAGTATTAATCAAGTAACAACACAACAATTAATTTGTTAACGGATTTGTTTCATTCATTTTCGGATGGCGCTTCGTCGTAGAGATCGGGCCGGACTGGGAGGTATTCGAAATCGTGGCCACCGGTTCTTCCTTCGTTTTCCGGAACCAGCCAATGATGGCCCTTCTGAAAGGCACAATTTAATTTAAGCGTATTAAAATAATTATATTACTAGCGTTGTTGACTTTGACCAGAAAATAGCAAAAGTTGGAGCGCAAACGGCCAAATAAAGCTAAATTCTTACCTATAGCACTTGATCAAGTAAATAATAGCGATGGGTTCCAGAATCGGGTCAATAAGCACAAGAATACAGGCGAAAGAAATATCGATCGGTAGATCAAGCATGGCTGACGAAAATATGCATCCCAACGGGATGTAGCTGCAGAAGAGTGGGATCAGGAGCTAAAAATTACGTTTTAACAAGTTTTCACCTCAATTTTTTTTGTCCCAAATGATCGCTGCTAGCTTGCCTCAATTTATCCCGACTTGCCCGGGGCGCCCTATCGAATTTTATCATTATTTTAAAGGTGGGAACTGTTAAATTATTATCGACTTAGATTGTTCTTTAGTGATTTGAGCACCAACTTTCCAAATTACCTGAATTACCAGAGCATGAAATAGCTCCTTCTGCAGCCGCTTTGTCGTTTTGCTTGCCATTACATTTTCGGAGAGGAGTCGATAGATTTTGTATCCGGCCAGGATGATGATATTCCAAGTGCATCCCAAGATTACCACCAAAAAGATCGTCACCAGGTAGGTGCGGATGTAGTGCGGGTTTTGGGATGGCTGAAAAAAATGAAATTAATGGAGTTGTGACAAGGGGGAGAGAGAGAGGGGAGAGAGAGAGAGATAGAGAGAGAGAGAGAGAGAGAGAGAGAGAGAGGAGAGTTCCAACTTACGGAAAAATTATTCCCAGTAGCAGCAAAATTAACAAGGTCCTTTCCAAATGTTTGACTAAACGCGCTGCTCAGCGCCATATAAACCGCAGGATCCGCGGTGACGGCATTGTTAAAAATGTGCACGTCCAGTGTCCAGAGGGTACTGTAAAGCTAATCTTAAAAAAAACTGTCTCCCCCTAAATTTCCCGGAAATCGCTTTCGAAGTTTGATAAAGTATAGAAAAACGGTCAAAAAACGTCCATTTTTCGAAAGTCAAAATTTTTTGACAATTACCTGGCTGTCGCGGCACCTTTAAAAACAAAAACTTGCTGAAAAAACGAATAAAAACCCACCAAACCAACACCGACAGCCCGATGCAAAGGCAAACAACCCGCGGTACTTTTTGCTTCCCGAAGAAGGAATTTCTAAAGTAAAATTATCGTTTTTAGTGAGTAACTACTAATTCGGTTATGTCAGTTATCGTACAATTCTCTATGGTTTTTAAAATTTCCAATACTCACCTATCGACAATGGAGTAGCGATACATAAACTGGAACATTAAAAGCACGAGGGTCTGGGCGAAAGCGCAGCAATAGGCCAAAAGAAGCCAATACGTCAGCTGGCGATCCCCAAGTACGGTTCGGTGCGCAAAAAGCAAGTAAGTTTGACCGGAAACGAGATTCGCCTAAAAATCGCCAGGTTTTGACGGCTTCTGGATCACAATTGTAAAGGCAACTAGCAGGGACCATTTGGAAGCGGCTTCAGAAATTATCGTTTTTGCAATACCCCAACTTTGTCAGAATCTCCGCTAGTCCACCTTTTTATTTATTCTTTTTATTCATCGAGTCTTTCTATTTTCTGTTTTCACGAATCCCCAATTTTTTTCCTGCTGGCCTGCCCTAAACCTTCCAGCTTACTGGTAATGTCAGCATATCAATAACGATCAGCGTCAAATTACAGCTGCAGAAAGCGAACAGGAGATGAGGATATTTTCCTCCCATATTCTTCGATTTTTTTGCGATCAGGTAGAGGGCCAGCAGGTTTAAAAGAAGTCCAATTGGACCCTCAATCATATGCAGGGAGCGGGTCGTTTCTTCGGATATCATTTTTGCAGGAATTAGTCAAAGAGTTGACTAAAAATACGCTCATTAGGCATAAGAAAATCAAGACAAGTCGGAAATCATATTTTTAAAACTTGAAAAGCTAAAATCCATGAAAGGTATGTTGTAAACAGAAAGTTGAAAGGAGCGGTAAATTTTAGCCATGAATATCATTAGTTTTGTAGACAGCCGCGACACGCAACGCGCACGCGCCGCTTGGCCATTTTGCAGCATTTCAATCGAGTACGCGACGGAAAGTACACTTGCGCGCCGCGTGTCGCGGCGTTAAAAGGGTCCAATGGCAATTTGTAGCCCAAAACTTGAGAATTATACCTTGACTGCACCTTTAAACTAGAAAAAGTCGTTGAAACTTTTCGAAAAATTTGGAACTACAGAAAGATCCAGAAGAATAGGACTACGGTATTTATCCGGTCTTTACGGCAATAAAATAGCTTTCTCTATGTAAATATATTTTCCCAAGTTTCTGGTGCCCAAGGAAAATTGCTTGTTTCTTTGGGTAAACGGTGGTGGCTTCGACGTGACGGACTGTATGTCAATCTCTAGCTATTTGGTAGTAATTTCTTGGGAACCTACATGCCAGCCCGTAAGTACATGGCCATTTTGGGTACACCCCATCCAGCCGGGTACACTTTACAGAACCCAGACTATAGGGCAATTAGGAGCATTTAGAATCAACTCCGCGCCCAGAATACCTGGCCAAAATATTGAAATTCACCTATTGATTTACGGAGAGTAAAGAGCAACAAATAAAAGGCGAGGGAACAAAATTTGAACTCGCGATGGTTATGGTGGGGATCGGGTTTTAGGAAAACAACTGAATTTCTACTGGTCAACACATTGAAATGTTAGGTTTTGGTAGGGGCCAAAGGTGAATCCTATTATCCCTTTTTTCTAAACGGATTACGGTAGCGCAACGAAACGGTGTAGAAAAAGCATAGCTTCGAAGGCGTTAATGCCATCAAGTGTTTGCGTTAATTCGGCATATACCTAAATTTTTTTATTGTCGGGATTCTTGCTGTCGGGATTTTTGCTGACGGGACTTTGGCGTTTTTCGAAATTTCGTCACGGAATCCTTTCTGACTATCTTAGGTCACAAAATTCCAGAAAAAGCACGAACGCGGATGGTCGTGAATTTGTGGTTTATGGAGATTCCAATCGTTTTGGATGTTAAGTCGTTTAAACGTCTAAATAAAATTTGCAACATCATGAATGAAAGACATGGAAGGGTTTAGAGGGGGAAGGGGGGGAGTTGGAAACAAAGCGGGGGGGGGGATGAAAAAATGGGGGGGGGGGGGGCTTTTTAATTTTTTAATTAAATTATTTTTTTTTTTTTTTTTGTTTTTTTGATGGTTTTTTTTTGGAGGGGGTTTTTTTTTTGGTAGTCTGTTTTGGGATTTTTTTTTTTTGGGGGGGTTTATTTTTTATAAAAATTGTATTCAAAGGGGGGTCTTTGTGGGGGGTTTTTTGAGGATTTTTAAGGATTTTGAGGGTTTTTTTCGATTTTTTTTTTTTGGGGGTTTTTTGGGGGGGGTATTTTTGGGGTTTTTTAATTTTTTGGGGGGGGGGGTTGGGGGGGATTTTAAAATTTTTTGGGCCGAAATCGGGAAAGGGGGGGCGCGGGGGGGGGGGGGCGATTAAAATCTCCTGAAAAACTACGTCATTTTCTGCGTTGCAAAAAAAGCTTTCTGAAACTGTAACCCGGTTCTCAACGCCGATCTGGACCGCTTTAAATTTCGTATCCAAAAGCGTCCCAGCGTGTTAAAAAATTGTCGTAAAAACACCCTGCCATGTTCGCACAATCCCACGGCAAATTTTTGAACACAGCTCAAAACCCCAGGTACAAAATGCCAAATTCGGGCCGCAACGCTGTGCCTTTTTCATCATTTTGGGCTTGTTTAGGTGCATTTCCGGGTGCTCCGATGATGACTGAAGAAAAGAAATACAAGTTTTTTTGACTGTTCTTGTGCTGCTCTGCACGTTCTCTGAGTTGAAATTGTTGTTTCTCGTCCCGTTCAAAGGTCTGGTAGCTTTTCCTAATTTGCATGGGAAAGTTTTGACCCCTGGGTAGCACAAAAAATATTTTTTACGGTGGGATTCTGGCATTCTGCGTGTAGCCTAGACGGGAAATGGCGCTAAGCATGAACTTCCCAGTTTCAAAACTCTAAAGGTTGCCTGATTGTTATAATAATGCCAATCGGCATGAAGAATTTTTTAATTATCTTAGTTCTGCGAATTTTGCCAAAAATAATTCGAGATCGAGAGAAAGGATGGAGAGAGAGCGGGGAGAGAGGGAGAGAGAGAGAGAGAAGGGGCGAGAGAGAGAGATAGGAGAGAGAGAGAGAGAGAGAAAGAGAGAAAGTGAAGAGATAGCGCGAAAACGAGGCGCGAGTGTGCTAGGAGATCGCAAAACATGAGGTTCCTAAAACCAGAAACTCGATGCTCCCAATACCGTAGTCAAAAAGGCGGAAAGAGTCTTTATGCCACCGGAAAACACGATTTTTCCGGAGCAGCATCACCGTTCCCCGGGAGCTTTCGAGGGCAGGGCAATTTGCAAAACTGCATAGAAGTACTGCAGAATCCAGAAAACGTGATTCTTGCCAAGGCGGATTGGATCTGTTAACAAAACTATACTGCAGCGATATGACGCATTACCTCAACCCCCAGATTTTTGAAGGCGTTTTATGGTGCACAGATCGCATCCCTGGGGATGTGCGGGTATGTGAGCCTTAATACCTAAAAACACGGCCAAGCCATGCCAAAGTACGTGGCTGTTGCAAAAGGATTCTTTTTGCAAATGAACCAATCCTCGGGGATTCGGAAATGAAGCAAAATCCCTGTATTCTGAATCCAAGGACCGTGAAAAAGCTCATTTTGGCTGCGGGTTTTGAAGTTTTTATTTGACGTTGCAAACACGAGAAGTTCAGAAAAAAAATTTACCTCGAGGTTTGGGTTACGGTGGGGTTTGAGATCGTGAACTAGAGAAATAAAGCAACCGGGAAGGCAAAATATTTCAGTCACGCTCGCTTGCATTGGAAAGTTGTTTTCGAAGTTCGTCGAAATTTCAGTTTGTCGAAGTTTGGTTTTAGAAATGTCATTTTTTCGAATTTTTGTATCCGAAATTTTTTGTGTCTCTAACGCGTACAAAATGAAATGAAAATTTTGGACAAAAATAAAAATTCGAAAAAGTGAATTTTCGGCAAGTTTATCGACAAAAGGAGTTTCAGGATCCTAATTTTCGACAAAATAATGTTTGGTATTACTAATTTTCGACAAAATAAAAGCGGTCCTTTGAGGGAATCCTATTTTTATTAGCTTTCTTGATTTGAGCAAGACGTATTTTAAAACAGTTACCAGGGTTGAAGGCCCCTTCGCGACTTTTCAACCCTGGCCCCGTCTGATCTCACGAATACTTAACTTTGCATAATTCTTGGTTTTCCGCTGACAAAAAATGAAAATCGTGCTCTCCACTGCATTATATAGGCTGCCGGAACTCCCGGTGCCTGCTAATTTTTCCTACGAAGAGGGTTCCCGAAGATTTTACAAAACTTAATTTTTATATCGAAAATCGCATAATTTGCAAAATATGATATGCGTGCAGTCAACGCGAGACCATTAAGCTCCTAATGACGTATCATACGTAGCTTAAGAGTCTTAAGTTAAGACCCGTCCCCTCTTGAGTTATCCGCCGGACAGAATGACGGAAGTTGCATGCAAAGTGGCACAGAGTAAAATTCATTGAGAACGGGTTACAGAAAAATGGAGCCTAGCCATCCGGTCCCAAACTTCAACTTTTCAACACTGTTGAAATGCAACTTGATTGTAGTCGGTGTGCCGTCAGTGGATTCCTCACCAAAATCCAGCACTACCTATTAACGACCGATTAGGCGTTGAAAAACGGTAATTTCGAGGACAAATTGCCGCTTATTCCGCAGGGAAAAGCTCAGAACGCCGCGTGCAGAAATGACCATCCGGTAAGTTCGAATGTGGCGAAAACGTGGGGGAAAAGCGAATAATGATCATGTCTAATTGTCCGCCTGTATTGTCAATTTTTCAAGGATCGCCATGCCATCTAATTGTCATTTTTCGCTTCAAAATTTGGTCGAAAGTACGGGTTTTTTAGCTTTTTCTGTTAGGTGTTTTGTTGCCGAAATTGAGGAAAGCCGCACTTAAAATTTGGGAGTTTTTCCACGAGGTCAATGAGGTCAGCCAGGAGATGAAGATACGATTTTAAAAACCTATGGAAAACATCGGTTCGTTATTAGACTGACGATTTAAAGGGACATGGAATCCACACTTGCGTAGAAGTAGCATTTTTAAGCTGAACAACGTATTTTGGAGTTAATCTAATACCACATAGCTATTTAAGAGAGTCGAGATGCAGCCTTCTTGAAGGGGTTAATTCTCAGGCTTCCTGACCTCTTTGAAACATCAATTTTTTTATGAAAGCAGTAAAAGCTACCTTATAACGTTTGCTGATCGAGGTCTGGACCCACTTTGCCAAGGAGGTTGAACACCTTTTAATGGAAAAGCTATAAGACACTGGCCGATAAATTTGGGGTGTAGTCACACCGTATGAATTATGTCATGTAGAGAAACGGATTAGTGAAAGTATTTTTGTGCCAGAAATATCACAAGATAACATAGAATTGAATATCATATCGAAATTCGAACAATAATGTCAAACAGCCTATGCACGTCGAAATCTCAGATGTCGAAATTTCATAATGTCGAAATCACATTGTCGAAACCTCACAATGTCGAAATTTCATAATGTCGAAACAAGTCATAATGTCGAAATTAGAATGTTCGAAATTTACATAGGCCAATATTCGCCGGTGAAACCGCCAAATCCTAGCCAAAAATTTTTCCCCATTCTATTTTTTTATCTTATTCCACGGCAACATTTTTTTGCCTAGAATTCGGGGACTTTACCGGGAATTTTAGCTTATGTAAATTTTCGACATTATGACATTTCGACATTCTGC